ACCAACCTGTAACTCGTAGACAATGAAAAATACTTTGATATTGAAAGTTTAAAAAACATTGCTTCTGGATTGTGACGGAGTGATTCCTACCAGCGTCCACGTCTCTCTGATGCCACACTGCATCCAGCACACCTTTATGCCACACGCTGTCTCGTAAATTCCATCTCAGCACATTAGTGCACTGGAAAGAAAGCACTGATGAAAGCATCTTTTCTGCTCTTAGGAATACTTTATGTCCATCCTACAGATCAATAACACCTCTAATCCAAGTGTGATATCTCTGCATATCATCCACGCAGTGACTCAGCCAATCTGAAGACGGAGAAGGTGGATAAGACCCACATCCCCAGAGAGAACATGTCTCTGCCTTCCAACATGCAGCTCCACGACCTCAGCACTCTGAGGAAAGGTAAGAGTTGTAAAAAAAACAAAAAACGGCAAAGCACCTTGAGCTCGAATGCAGATAGCTGGAAGGTGGATGAACTGTGGACACCTAGAAGTGTGAGCGTGTGCATATTTAACACATGCAGCAGCCGCTTACAACAAACCGCACAGCATTTGTGGTAAAACGTGATAAATTGTGGCCCAAGATCTTGTTAAGAGCAAGCAGTCCATAGTTCCTTGAATAGTTTGGGTTTAGTGAGTCTCAGGAGCCCAGATTCATTGTGTTGCGGTTGTTGGTGGTAACAGGCAGTGGGAGCACACGGGGGGAGGTTTTCTTTGAACATCGGTGTGAATCAAGCGGGGGGCTGTGGGAGTTCTCCCCCAGGAAATTTACACAATCAAACACTTAAACTCCCGCTTTCTATTGAATATTTATTGTTCCTTTTCTGCATCAATTTATGGTGCAAATATCTTTATTTGTGTGAAGGAAAACTCAAGGAATCTAATGCAGTACTTTCAAACGTTTATTCTCCTGTGGATCAACTTCTCGCTGCTGATGGAGGCTTTACTCGTCTGTCCTCTTCTTTAAATGTGCATGTGGCACCTTTTCATGTCGATGAATTTTTGGTCTTTGACAGTTCACGTGTGTTTGGGAAAGATTTCTGCTCAACTTTTTGCACACAACTGGTCAAAAGATAATCAAGTCTGTTAGAGAATGAGATGTTGTTCAGCCTCTAAATAATTCTGGAAAGCTAACTGTGAGGCATATTGGTGTTTTAGGTAGGCAGACAGCTTCACAGGCTTTTATTTTTCCCATAGAAGCAGAATAATGTAACAAGGAAATTATCGAGCATCACCAAATGCAAATGTTTCAGGCTTATTCAGAAGCTCCACTGAACAGCCGCCTGTTTGGCTGAATGCTCTAATCGCTCTCATTCTGATGTGTGACAGCCGGGGTTAGACTTTTTTTTGTGTTCCCTGTAATTACTCTCATAATTTCCTTGAAAAGAAATGACAATACAATTCACAGTTCTAGGAAGGTTCCTGGAAAGAGCTGTGAGATGGGGTTGGACTTACAGGAAAAGCCGGTTGCATAACCGGTAAAGTATTTCAGTCGGTGCACATCTGAACACACCAAATGTGTCGACAGCCACTCAGCATGTTTGGAGAAGCTAATAAAAGAATATTTCCTTGGATTCTAAGAAGGCAGTTTTCTCTTTTTGGAAATTAGCAACTAAACTCTAAGAACGTTTTAAACACCCTTCCTGTAAAAGTCAAGTTTTAACCGTGCTTTCGTGACCATACGGTGTTTTTAAAAATACGTTTCATGAGCAAAATCAACAGTCAAAGCCGCGGCTGAGTGTTGAAACTGTAACGATGACAAAAAGAGACGATCATCCTTCCTCAGATCGGTTTACTGCTCCAACAGGTGAATTATTCCAGTCTGACAGTGTTGAGCAGAGCTGCAGGCGAGCTGGTGTGCTGAGCTGCAGGGGGTGGCGATGGGTGAATGGAAACAGAGGCAGGGGCTTCATAAAGCTCTACAGTCTAGAGGAAACAACAGCGTGAAGTCACATCTAGGGGAGGCCTAATTATTTTAATGGAAAAAAAATCTAAATATATGTCACAGTCCTACGGAAGCCGAGAGCGGTCATGGCCGCAGAGATAATTATCCCGTTGACAGTTCTGGCTGTCACTTCAGCCTTCATCAGAAGTTGTCGGACTTCCTGGTGTGACGTATCTTATACAGACAGCTGACCGGGAACTCTGACATGACGAAAACGAAGTTGGTTTTCTCGAGATAAATTATCTCGTTTTCACAAGAAAACGATTCCAGTTATCCCGAGATAACGAGAAAATTAACTCGAGAAAACGGCGAAGAAAGAACAGTAGCGGAAAACGACCGCTCTTGGCTTCCGTACAGTCCAAATTAAAATCCAGCTGAATTTTAAATCTGCCTTGACCAGATTAAAATGTTGATTTGCTCTCTCTCGGCAAGATTGAAATCATCCTTATAACAAATTGAGATTGTAGGCCTGTCTAGACATGTTTAAAGTGTGACCACACCAAAATAAAAACCCGAATTAAACCAGAATTATACGATTGATTTCACCTGAATGAAAACCATTCATACATGTAGTGTTTGTACCAGTCCTGTGTGACTGTTAAACATGACAACAGACCTGTCTTCATATGTACGTGAATGAAAATGTTGGTGTGACCCTTTGATTATTTCGACATTAAAGAATGTGAGGTTCACACCACGGTGAAGTGTGGAGGTTATAGATTTAAAACTTGCCCAGGCAGGATTACAGTCTCATTATGACAGAAGAAGGATTTTAATGTGGTCGAGGTGAAATCAAAATCTGCCTGGATTTTAATCTGGACTGTGACGTACACATTCTGATGCATGCAGATGAGTTTGTTTAATCAGTGACGAGAGCAACTCTAAAGAAAGTTATTAAGAAGTTGTGGATATGTAGAAGTGCAAAAGTTTAGCATTTTATCAAGACAACAAAAAAATCACACCGAGTGCACATTTGCTGAATTTGCAGCACTTTATAAGCACAGATAAACGTTTCCTGTCTTGCTCAGGATGCATCTGATGCTGACTTTTAACAACAGTTCCTATCGTGCTCACATAAAAACTATTCAGTCCTCCTGGAAGTTTTCCCCGTTTACTGCTTTTCAACATTGAATTATAGTTAATATAATTTGGCTTTACCCAAAAAAAGACTCTTTCATGTCAAAGTAAAAACAGATTTTTAATAAATGATGCCAAATAATTAAAAACTTGAAGTGTGAATACGAAGCTACAGCCAGGAAGTACTTTAGCAGATCTTTATATGCTGAGACATTACTCAAGCTGGACTGGCAAAGAAACTGACATTTAATTATTTTGGTTTGTTTTTACATCCTTGATTCCGATTTATTTATTGGTGAGTTACTCGTCTGAGTTGTTGATCAGGCACGACTGCCACATGACTCATGCAGGCCACTACCTGTTGGTTGTTTGGGGGCTCAGATTATGGTCTGTTCGTACAGATTCAAATACTGAGTGAGCTGTATTGGTGCTGGTTAGCTTTGGAAGCAGCCAGGTTGCCGGTTTCCTTTCTGTTTCTCATCCAGTAGCAGGTCAGCTTCAGCCAGCAGCCACTCAGTCTTAACATGCGGTCACTTAAGTTGCATCAATTCTCTCATTCAACTTGTAGAAAAATAAGCGTATTTCCCTAAAAACTATGCCCCCGAGAAGCTCACCATCACATCTCTCTGCATTCTCCTGTGTCCTCCATCTTTCCTGCATCCCTTCTCGTAGCCCGAGAGGCCGCCCAGCAGAACAGCGTGGGAGAGCAGAAGAAAGAGGAAGAGGAGGAGGAAGATCTGTCTTTAGCCTACGCCGCCAGAGGTCAGGGAAACACACTCTGATCCTGCTGCTGTTTTCATTATTTATATGTTTGGCTGCGGAGGAACAGCAGTGAGCGGCTGTTGTTTTCTTCTCCCCTATGGTTCCCAGGTTTTGCCAGATATCCGATGGTGGGCTACATCTACAAGGTGAACAGCACAAGCAGCGAGGAGATCTGGCTCTGACGGACCTCGGAGCAACAGACTGTACGTGCATGCATAACTCAGACATTCAACCAATCATCGTTCACCTTCGAGCTGGATGAAGAGGATCCACTTGTTGTTGGAGATCTTGTCTGTTTCTGGATCAACAAACCTCTGCTCCTCCGACTCAGACGTGATCCACAACACAAAGCCGTCAGTGTTTTTGTCATCAAGTCAATCCGGTATTTACACTGCTGACGCAAAGTACGAACTCCAAGTTAGAATGCTCATATTCAGTCCGTTTTGAGTTAAGACCTCCCGTACCCACATGACGTCTCCTCCCTGTGGCATTATTGGAATGCATTAATCGTTCTATGCTAACGCCAGAATGTTAACGTGAGATTTTACATTTTGACCAGTGATATCCGGTGAAGACGGTGCATAACTAATAGAATGTGTAATTGTTTATGGACATGCGACGTGTCATGTACTGTATATTTGTATGCATATGTATATGTGTATAAAAGAGGACGTCTAATAAAGATAATATGGGGATTGTATGGAAGTGAGCAGTGGGCCGGCTGTGGTTTCAGTTTGCACTCACCAGGGGGCGCTCAGGAGCGGCGTATAGGCTGGGAAAAATGCACTCTGTGTTAGTCATGGGGGTGATGAGCTTTTGACACAACACGGAGCGTCTGTTGTGTGATGCTGAAGACGCTGCTGGATGTAGTGAGGAAGAAACCCTGTTGTCGTTTTTTTTTTTTTTTTTGCAACAGGTGCAGGAGAAGAATAATGCATCCCAGTGTGTGTGTGTGTGTGTGTGTGTGTTGCATGCGCTCCAGGTGTTCGCTTTAGGTCACAGGTTCTTGTGGTTTTTTTTCTTCAAACAGGAAGCGGAGTTGTGTTGTGGGAGCATCTATTTGCTCTCGCTGCTGTTTCTTCTGCGCCAAACAGGGAAAACACAGTCTGTCACACACACACAGGGAAAAACATTTACAACACACGGGGAATTAAAATATTCATCTGAACACACACGCTTGTGTTCGTTTGCTTTGTTTTACCAGATGGAGCTGCTCGTCATGGGCACGAGTCTCCCAGAGCAACTGCACAGCGCGAAGCAGTCGACGCGCTGATCAGCCGGAGCTGGTGCTGACTTTACCTCCAGAGTCGATATGAGATGATTCTTCTCCCATGAATGCTGCTCATGTCCTCTGGAAAAGGGTCTTGATGATTTGTGAAGAAACAAAACACAAACGAGTTTCAGTGCTTTTTTAACTGGATAAATCTCTGTACGGGGAATATGAAGTCTTTGCTAGTGATTGAACAGAGAATTAATGAGGCTTTTCAGCTGCGAATGCACAAAATACATAAATTAAATCTACCCCATCAGTGGTAGTAATAAAACTACCTCGTTGCCAGTAAGAGCCGTGCATTGAAAAAAGGAAGAAAATGCATTTAAACGAGTCCTCCACATGCAGAAATCAACAAAGAATGCTGAAATAAACCAATCACACTCACTTCCTCCTCTGTCCCCCTCACACACACACACACACACACACACACACACACACACACACACTCACACACTTCGACACTGCATGCTTCGACGGCTCAGACACGGCAGCGTTCTACTTCGAGGTCAGTACTTTTATTTCAAATTTACTGCGGGCAAAATAAAGGCGGTATTTTTTTTTATCACCTTCGACTGTTTATGTTTTCATGTAGATGCAAAAATGTAATTTAAAGACAACAAAACAAACAAACAAAAAAAGGTCAAATCAGCTAAATTCAAAGTTTGTAATATTGATTAGCTGAACTAATCGTCTTGCGCCTCAGATGTCGTCTTTAAACAGTTCTCTGTTCGAGTTAACGGAGTAAAATGGTCGACAAAAAGCAGAAAATGGCGTCCTTCCTGTTTTCTGTATACACTCCGTCTGACTCGCAGTGAACTGAAGTATTCTCTTCTTTCATCAGCAGAAGTCTCAGGACTGAACTCACAATGAAATGCCAGCAGTTAGCGTTGTTGCTGCTCTGGGGGCTGATCGGTAGGCCGCTCTCACTGTTTCTGCTCTTCATGAAATCACAAAGACACCAAACGTTTCTTACCAGTGTCTGAATTTGACTAAGTTGTATGATTAAAGTGAATCTTTTCATCTTTCTTTCCCAATTCCTCCTGCAGCATTTGTCAGCATCTGCGGTAAGAAGACTGTTGTACCTTTCCCGTGCTGGTAATGTCGTGGTCATGCCTGGTGTGGAATTATATGAACGCACATTCTTTTTTAAACTTTTGTTTTTTTTTCCCCCCCCAACACACAGAATCACAGGAGATAAAAGTGGAAGATCTCTTTGAGAAAATCAAGCTGTCATGTGGCTCAGGATACAAAATGCAAATGCCAAATGGTACACCTGATACTACCCTAACGGTGCCTAAACTTGACTCCAGCACAGGAGAGTACGCCTGTGTTAAAGACGGCGACAACGAACCTGCATCAAAAATCTTTGTGAAATTTCGGAGTAAGTCCTGCAGGAAAACTTTCATCATGTGGTGAAAACACTCATGCAGTTTCTATGGTTTTATGTACTCACAGTATTTACCCTGCATAATAGAGTGTGTGTGTGTGTGTGTGTGTGTGTGTGTGTGTGTGTCCAGGCTGTGACAACTGCATCGAGTTGAACAAGGGAGAGATATCAGGCGTGGTGGTGGCAGAAGTGGTGGCCACGGTGGTGATAGGAGTGGCCGTCTATCTCGTCGCGTCTCAAATGCGGACCGGTTCAGCCCCCTCGAACAAGAAAAGTAAAGTCAAAACCTGTCTGTCTGTCCGTCTGTCCATCCACGTTAAACCTTTCATGCAGCAAAACTGAGTGACCTTTCTTTTTCAAACTGTCTTATTATTTTTCACATCTATTACTCTAGCCAGAGGTCAGGTGTCCACTGTCGTAGACGCCACATATCAACAGGTTAAAATGCACTGTAATGCAAAAGACGACAGGTGAATACGGTAAAACAATACTTAACCACTGGATATCACCACCAGCTGGTTGCTTACATGAAGACAAGTACTTTTTTGTATTTTAAGTTTACCAGTATTTTGCTTAAGATGCAGACGACACTGACTGTTGTTACAGGAACCAAACCTTTGGCTAATGGTTCACGAGTCTTGTTGACGCATTAGAGTCCAAAGTGTTTATGGGAGGTTTGGGTGTCTAAATATACTGTCAACAGCCAGGAAGAACTATTCATTTTTACGATGTTTTTAGCAACGAAATGTTCGTAAAATATGAATGATTTCCAGGCAAACCCCTCTGAAGAATGTAGAATAAAACTGGAAAGTTTAGTGAATCCGCTGCCGAAGCGGAAATTTTTGGTTCACAGGGTGAGAAAGAAATGATTTAGTAGAATTCCACATGTTTAGTGGAAACTTTAGAGGAATTAATGACTAACAGATGAAACCTTTTTATATCTCATCAGTGATCATGTCACAATTAGAAAAAAACCCCCGATGAGCAGAATGTAACCTCTAATGCGAGACGTCCAACCCAGTGGATGGGTGCAACTCAAAAAGAAAGATAAATCACAGATTAACTAACCTTGTTGTTTCTACCCACAGTTATTCTGACTACATGTTCCATCCCTGTAGAGTAAAACATGCTTTCAGATGTTCCACAGCTCACCGGTTCATCTCCGCCACAATCTGCCGTTTTGTATTTATGAAGCCATATTTCAGGATAACAAACATTGATAAAGACAATAATCATAGAGAATCATACAGAGACACAGATAACACCGAGTTACTGTGAATAATGTGGTTTATTTGAGGTTTTAATAACCACGCAGGAGGAGCGTACGGACATTAAAACGCTTCACGAACACTCGTTCAACATGGAAATGAACTTGTTGCTGAACCCGATGGAAGTTGTGCCAGAATTGAAGTCAGTCTTATTGGTGATTGATTACAGTTTTTCTCCGTTGCTTTGGTACATTTCTCGAATCATCCTCGACAAAACAGTCGGTGCGTTTCTCAAAACAGTTTGTACGAATAACGAAACACCGTGGATTACCTGCAGAAGGCAGTTACTGGCTCTAAATCCTTAGTTCATCTCTCAAAACTAAATATGTGTCAGTGAACACGTCAATGGCATCAGAATGACCAGTCAGTGGATGAGATGGTCACACTGTTTAGTCGTGGTGTCAGTACAACAGTGTACTGATGTTTTGATGTAAACTATGGCTGAAGTTTTGATGACAGTTATTGTTCATTGTGAGTTTCACCTCAGAGATCAATTGCAAGAGTCTGGACCAGATTCGCATTTGCTGTTTGTGCTGTAGTTTGTTGACAGACCGTGACATTACGACACAGAAAGGAAAAAGACAGCACAGCACGAGAGAAAGTCAAGATTCACCTGAGAGCAACTTACCAATTAAAGACAGATTTAGAAAAAACAAGGTCTAATGGAGATGTATAGAAATGTGCTCGACGTATTCTGCATGTAAAGACTTATGCGATGAGCTAATGCCTAAATGTTGTGGGGCTGAGACTATCCAACAGAGACCCATTATACCACATTCTGATCAACACGACATGAGCAATCGATAATGTAGGAAACAGCAGAGAACTGTACGTAATCATTTACATGGACGTAGCAAAGCGTTTAGAACGTGTTCACAGAAATGAGAAGTGACACGATGATGTGAAGATTGAACGAGTGGTTCTGAGGATTTCAATTCTGAAATTCTGACTGAGAAAAACTGTAATGAAGACGATAATCATAGAGAATCATACAGAGACACAGATAACACCTGATTACTGTGAATAATGTGGTTTATTTGAGGTTTTAATAACCGCGCAGGAGGAGTGTACGGACATTAAAACGCTTCACGAACACTCGCTCAACATAGAAATGAACTTGTTGCTGAACCCGATGGAAGTTGTGCCAGAAATGAAGTCAGTTTTATTGGTGATTTAACCTGATATAGATAGATAGATAGATAGATAGATAGATAGATAGATAGATAGACTTTATTGTCCGTCCCAAAGTGATCTGAACATAGACCTCAAAATGTAAAGACGACACAGTAATCTTGTGTGAGTTTATTTTTTTTTTAAGTTGTTTATAACTGTTCTGTGATACGTTTTTACTAGAAGGTGAGCATACTGGAATAATTAACTTAAATTTAAAGTAAGGAAAACACATAATTTTCACATTTTTCCGTTCGTTTAAAGGAGTCTGTCATGTATTTGCACACGTTGTGGTGTTTTCTAAAGCCACATGCCGATGATTAAAGATCACAGGAGGAGCACAAAGAACAAACACCGCTCGAACGCTACGCTCAGAAATACTAAAACTAGCGAGACACAGTAATCGGTTTTCCCTCTGCAGTGACTTTTTGTATTCATCAGGTTCGTCTGTCAAGTTATTGCAGCAACACTTAAAGCTTGTCTGTAAAATCTCTAAATGCCCATTTAGTGCAAAACTCTGCAGATGCTCCAATGATCATGAAACACATTCACATGATTTAAATATTGCTGATTACTTTTTTTTTTAAAGAAGCCACAGCCACTGCTGACTGCGCTGGGCCGTACCCGGAGGCTGTGAACGTGGTTACTGTCGGGGCGACGCTGCAGCTGTGGCTGTTTCGGTGGCTGCAGCTGTTCTGCTGTCAGACGTCTGACGAGGCTACTCATGGATCCAGTGTGTCCTTCGTGTTTGACAGATGTGTTGCCAACATACAACACATGAGGAACAACTTCACGGCAGCGCTGAGCCAGTATTAGCGATTCAGTTATTGTTAGAAACGTTAAAACCGTCACTCAGTGAATCTGAGGTGTCGCAGAGAAGGCTTCATGTGGTCACAACCAGCGACTCTGATCACTGTAGACATCGGCCTTGTTCATTAATCAGAGGGAACGCTAACCGTATTGGGAGTAAACACAAAACTTAGCAACTATTTTGTTGCCTGAAATAACGAAATCGGCCGACCGTCACCTCTGACGCTCAACACATTACGTCCGTGCAGTTTGGGGTTTGGTCGGTCTGCACAAAGCCAACGCGTAGAAACAAGACATTGTTCTTTTAATTGCATTTTAATACAGTCACATATTAAAAGGAAGAACCTCCAGATTGATCAACACAAGCTGTCAGAATGCTGAACTGCTGATCCAGATATGCAAACACTTGTTTATTTAAATTGCTTCAAGTTACTGGATCCTGAAGAAACGCTCTCTCATCTTGCCTGTACTGCTGCGTATGTACAGCAACATGACAATAAACTGGATTTGATTTGATAGTAAACATATTGGCAAGTGTTGCTCAACTGTCGCTCTGCAAGAAAATGATCAAGCCCCTGTCTGAGCTGCTTGACAGTGTTGTCATGGTGTCGGTTTTCTAACTAGATCAGCAGCCCGGCCACAAGAAGTGAGCGTAACACTGAGCTCGTCAAACTTCTTCAGGAAAAATTTAGTAAAACGAGCAACGCAAATAAATACCAGAGACCGCAGAAGACAGGCGTGAGCAGTAACTCACCGATGCTCTGAATAACACAACTTCATCACTTTTAAAACAATCCTGCATGCATTAGACTCTGTTTGTCTGTGTGTTAATGTTCCAACACGTCTGTCCTCAGCCTCTGACCGACAGCACCTGGTTTCTAATGAAGTGAGATCCACCAACGACCACTACCAGGTGGGCGGAGTTTTAAAGGCATACGTCCTTATTACATCAACAAAACTGAACATTAAGTGACACTTTCTTTGACTTCCCTCCACCTTTTCCATCGCAGCCTCTGAGACGTAAAGACGGCAATAAAGACACGTACGACGTGCTCAACAAGAAATAGGACGGCTGGTCGCCTGCAGCCTCTCCATCCCGACTCCCTGCTGATGCTCGACCTGCTGCAGGAGGCAGAAGTCCTGTTGTCGCTTATTCCTGACATACTTTGCTCTGTATGATACTGCTTTAGATACGGCTGAGAGACCGGCTCACCTGTTGCTGCGCATCATCCGTGCTTCTTCAGCTGTTACACCTTTGATCCTGATGTTTTTCTTTGTCATTAGAACAACTGATGCTGTCATGTTGTAATAATCAAACCTGCAGAATAAATCTCGCCGTGCTGTCTTGTCACGCTGTTTCCGGTGATAAAATGACTCCAGTACTTCATTTAGGCACGACATCGAGGTGTTTGTACTTCTGGCTTCTCCTCCATTTCAGAAGTGAATCGTTTATTTGACAACTACAATTACTTCTCAGATTATGATAAGCTTGAAAATATTGTTTAAGGATAAACCAGTGGTCCCATGGTTTCATTTAAAGAAGTTTGAAATGTAAGCAGGCCTGGTTTATTTACGTTTGGAGGTCAGTGGTTCAACACACTGAACCCAAACCCTTATAGGCTCAGATAACTTTCAAAGCTTGACCCTTAGATGGTCCTCTAAAGCGCATGAAAGCTGATTATCACATACATGCTTCAGAGTAAATGCTTTCATTAGAAAACACACAAGACAGAAGATGACACAACGAAGCACCACAAAACAAGAAGCAGCCGATCATTCATGACTGACGCCTCTTTAAAACCAGCCCAGTCCCAATCCAGTTTGAATTCTGCACATAAAATAATCCACAAGCTGATGATCCTCCTAAAACAAGCAGCTGTTTGTTGAAATGAGGGTTTATAAGTGCACCTTGCTGCTCGTCTTGTTACTGAGCTCGAGGTTTGAGAGAAATCATCGAGTCACTGAGCGCCAGAGGAGCCTGATAGAAGAGTTTAACGAATCTGAAAAACTAATTAATTTAACAAACAGTCGTGACTCGATAATCCGACACTAAATGTAAAACCTTCTTTTATGTCGGATAGCAAGGCTGTCGGATTGTCAAGACGGAGGTCGAGATACAAGGAGGGCTTGATGCTGGAAGGCTCATTAGTTGTTAATTATTGTTTATAGTTGTTATAATAACTAGTAGGGCTGGTCCCAATAGAACTGTCTGGTCTCTGGATATTCAGTTATGCAGATATTCAATTAATGATGAATATCTGAATATTCGGTGCAGTTGGGGGACACTTCCACCCCGGGGGAGCGCTCTGACGGGGTGGAAGTGTCCAGAACACACAGGTGGTACTTGGCTGCTGATGCTAGTTTAGTTAGCGCTCACACTTCTGTTTCCACCATTGGTGGCCCTGCTGCCGCTGCCGCCACCATCCGTGTTTACTTCCATAAACACTGAGCACGCTCGCTGCGTGTGACGTCGTCGTGTCCTCTTCTGCGCATGCGGGACACTTTTGGGTCGTATGAAGTTCACACAGCAGATCACATACAAGTCGCATTTAACTGGAAATGTGAAGGAAGTCACAAAAAAGTTTGAGTTGAGCATGAAGTCCTGCAGTGTGAACGTAGCCAATCGGTGGGATTGTTCAGTCAGATAATACGCTGTTATCCTGATTGGTGACATTAAATGTCATGTCGGAGTCAGAATCCAAGGCTGTCGCTATGTTAAGGCTGTTTTTATGGGTTCCGTTTGTTTTTCCTAAAAACCTGTCGGATAGCAAGGTTTTGTTAAGGGTCAGATTGTGGAGTCACGACTGTATTGTATTTCATAAGCTGGTGAGCTCTTACTGTGTTCCTGTCAAATACTTTAACTGCTTGACTGCGTGTCATCATTAGACTTGTTGTAGAAGCTGCTTGTGTTGCGATCAAGACGTTGCACAACTTACATGTCATCAGATCTCAGAAGGCACCACTTATTCGCAGCATGAAGTGATAAACAGTCTTTAACGGTTCTAAATGTTTGCTTTTGCCTTGATCATTATTCCTAAAGTTCTTCTCCAGTTATTGATTAAACCCTGAAACACTCATCGCTTTACCTTCACCTTATTGGATCACAACCTCAGTTCAAAATCAGTGCAGATCATCTCCATCATTAATGCTTTGGAGTCTTAGCTGTAATGTTTAGATTAGTTCGGTTAAACTCTGTATTTAATAATACTGAAGTTAATTAATGAGTTAATGTTCTTAGTTCCTTCAGGCTCCATAATTAGTGACACTGTAGTGACACAGCCTATATATGTGTTATAGATTTAAATTTATATCATTTCTGCAGGGTTTTAATCCCTAATAAGTATTACTGAGATAAAGTCACACTATAAACAACACTACAAGGTCTCTATCTAAACTTGTTAGGTACATTTCTTAGCATGAATCATATTCTTTCTTTCTTTCTTTCTTTCTTTCTTTCTTTCTTTCTTTCTTTCTTTCTTTCTTTCTTTCTTTCTTTCTTTCTTTCTCTGGTTCCATTACTGTTGTTTTCAATGTGCCTTATCAAAACAGTGACTAGTCATCTTTGTAAAACTTCTCTCCGTTCTAATATTGGAGTAATTTTGAAGAAGAGCGGTTAAAGAGAAAACTCCGCCCTGCAGGTGGGTTCTTGTTACGTACAAAAAACCCGCAAAACACTGGAAACGCTCGGTCATGGTGCTGATCGCTTGTTCCTCTGATGACGTGTATCAGAGGCGCCACATGGACACGACGACGAGGTGGAAAAGCTGATTTTCAAGCTTGTCAGATTTAAGTGGGACTCTGACACGAGGCTGAAACATTTGACCTGTGAAGCCTGATCGCTGCTTCGCTCGTTAACCTTCAGATTGAGCTGATTAGCTTCAGGATGAGCTCAAAAGCAAACCAACAGTTTTCTGCTGCATATACGTTGGCTGTTATTCCACATTCAACCACATCGCACTGACTCCAAACCTTTTTCTTTTGTTTAATCATATACAAGAATGTCTAAATGGTA